TGTGTGTGTGAGAAAGAGAATCTAATCTAATTAATATTAAAGATATAAAAGACATAATAGAAAAAGTTTTATTATAGTGTTTTCAAATATTTTAATCAGATCCATAGTCCAGACACATTAGAATGAAAAGGTTCCAAAAATTTGTACGTGTGAAATTGTGTAATTAATGATAACTTAAAGGAGTTAAATTATACTACTTATGCTAAAAAATACATCTACTTTTTGGTAACTTGTAATTTAAGAACTTTATAGTAAAACGTACTTGACAAATAATTTAGGAATGAGTAGCTTTTTGAAAAGTTTTCCGGAAAGTGAGTGAAGACAAAATATATTAAAAAGTCTTGTATTAATTTATAGGAACAATTATTGATCTAAAATTGATCTAAAGGCGTTCATACATCTCAATGAATTATTATAAAGAGTTGTGTCGTAAATTGTTAAAAAACACTCAAAAATTATTTATAGTTTAAAAATCTTATAATTAAATCACTTACAAAAAAAAAATTAAGATTTCTTTCACATTTAGATTTAAATTATATCTCAAATTTTCAAACTCTGATATATTTTCAATTTATATCTATTCATAAAAATTAAAAATTAAGAAAAAAAATAAAAAGTAGAACTTTTTATCTATGGAATTTTAATTTTAATTTAATATTTCTGTTAATGCAATACACAAAATTAATATTTCTTTTATACTATTAAAATTTACAATAAAAAATCTTTAAATATATAAATAGCTGTTGAAAAAAATAAAGATTGTTTCGTGCTTAATCACGGTATTTCAACTTAGAACTAGTATCTTTGTGAAGCTTTTATTCCATGATGAAAGAATGTCAAATAATTGGAATTTGTGTGGAAAATTAATTGTAAGGTTGGAATAAAAATATTTACTCGCGCAACAAGAAGTTGACACCATTGATCTTACTAACAAATAGTTATGTTTTATTCTAACATATTATTTTATAATTTTATATGATTATTTACATATAATCAATATATTTTCTAATATTTATATTTTGTGTATTGTACAAAAAAAAATATTAAATTAAAATTTAAATCATGTAGTTAAAATGTTCTACCTTTTTATTTATTTTTTTCTTAATTTTTTATGAATAGATGTAAATAAAAAAATATCAAAGACTTTAAAAGTTGAAATGTAGTTTAAATCCTGACACTACAAAAAAATTGTCATGTAATAACACAACTTATATTGACATAATAAATGTCACTAAAAGATACTTTGACCCACACACTAAATACATTATATGTTAGTATATTGTTAAAAAAATGTTAGTATAGGTTATAGTGACATATAAAATATATGTTGTTAAATCACATTCAAAATTAACACTTAAATTGTATGTAATTATATGTCAAATAGATATATATCAACATATATTATACCTCTAGTAACATTTTTTGTATGTCACTCACTATATGTAACATTTTTTGTAATGTGATTGTAAAAAAAAAATTTCTTCAAGTTTTGGTGTAATTAGTATATGAAAATATATCAAGAATTTAATTAAAAAAATTAAAAAACAAATGAAAATAAAAATGAATGGTTTTAGCATATTAAATGGTGATTGTCATGTACTATCAACATAAATTATCAGAGATTGATGACATTATTAGTACATGGACATAATGTACGATCAACATTTTGTGGTGATTGCTATAATAATATATCATAACATTATGTGTGTGATTAATATATTAAAATTAAGGATTTAATTAGAAATATTTAAAACAAATGAAAATAAGAAAAAAGCGATTTTAGCATATTAAATAATGATAGTAATATCATAATGTACCATTAACATAAATTAAACAGAATTCCAACCACACAGTAGTAGGTGGCGGATTTAATGAATTTTTATTTTAAATTATAAGGATATTTTTTAAGTGTTTTTAAGATAGGGAATTAATTAAAATTTCGAAAAAACTATATGGAATAATAGATTAATTTAACAATTAAGAAATTACATATATTTTTTTTTAAAAAAAATCCAAAATACTATGAGTATAAGTGTATAGCGATGATATTCTGTCGGTAAAAAATAATTTTAAATTGTTTAGGGTAAAAAATAATATAACATATATAATAAATTTATTAACTTTTACAATAAGTATCTTAAAACATTAAAATCATAATTTCGGATTGATTAGCTTGGAAAACATTTTACACCCACAATATATAACAAATAAACTCAAATATCAATCACATTTGTTAATACTTGTAAAAAAATCTTGAATATCAACCAAAATAGAAGGAAAAGAGTAATGAAGAATCAACTAATTATTAAAAGTTTGCCATATACATGATAAATATTTAGTTTCTATAAACTAATGTTGTATCTATAAAAAAAGGATGCAATAGCTTCATTTTCCTGAACCAAATATTCATTACATTTAAACACTGGTGGACAAGTTGAATACTTGCAATATTTTGAGACCAAAAGCATGTCTCTTTCATTAAACATCCCTCATGTGGTGCTCCAATGGAGCTCCAAGCAACACAACAACATGCCTGTGATTGGACTTGGCACAGCTTCATCTCCCTCTCCTAATGATACAAAAGTGGCAGTGTTGGAGGCTATAAAACTTGGTTACAGGCACATTGATACTGCTTCAGTGTATGGCTCAGAGCAGCCTCTTGGAGAAGCTATAGCTGAAGCACTTCAACTTGGCCTCATAGCCTCTAGAGATGAACTCTTCATTACTTCCAAGCTCTGGTGCACTGATAATTTTCCTCATCTTGTTGTTCCTGCACTCAATAAAACACTTCAGTAAGTGAAAAACTCCTCAATTCCATACATCAGCTACCACGTGTGTTTACATAAATTATCTTTATGAGATTCAATCATTTTATATATATTAATATATATACCGGAGGGATGAAATATCACCGGTAAATTTTTATCTTAGTAACTTTTAATTTAATGGTGTTCTCTACACCATTTAATAACTTTAAATTTCATGATATTTTTTCAAAAATTTTCTTTTAGATTGAAATTTCATTTCAAATCATTTATTCAAAATTTTATATTAAGAATCAAGATTATATATATATATAGTACACTTTTGAGGCTTAATTCCCTTATTATTCCAAATTACAATTGGATTTACTAATGCGTTACAAAATTATTCAAAATCACAACATAATTGAGCACATAAGTTTGAATAATATACTGAAGTAACTTGACTGTGTGAGGCACAAAATTAGTGCAGGTCTTTGAAGTTGGAATATTTGGATCTTTATTTGGTTCACTGGCCCATTGCTGTAAAACCTGGAAATTGGGAGTTTCCTTATCCTGAAGAGGCTCTAGCCTCATTTGACTTAGAAGGTGTGTGGAAACAAATGGAGGAATGCCAAAAGCTTGGCCTTACAAAATGTATTGGAGTTAGCAACTTCAGTCGTAAAAAACTAGAAAATCTTCTCTCTTTTGCTACTATTCCTCCTTCTGTTAATCAAGTAAGTCATAAAATCACATTGGATATCTTTTCTCTTTTCAATTTAGACCAATTATAAACTTGATAACTCATTGTGATTACTTTATACCATCAAAAAGGTTGAGATGAATCCTACTTGGCACCAAAAAAAGTTGAGAGAATACTGCAAAAATAAAGGTATAATCATAACTGCATACAGTCCTTTGGGAGCAGCTGGGACCTTTTGGGGTTCCAATGATGTTTTGGAGAATGAATTGCTCAAGGAAATTGCTGAGGCTCATGGCAAATCTGTTGCTCAGGTAACATCTTTGTACTTAATCTTAAACTAGTGGTTAGATAATATTTTTTTTCATTCTGTTCTAAGATTTTATTTTAAACTAATCTAACTCAATTAAGAGATAAGTAAAACTCAATTAAATTTTTTTGCCAAATAATGAACTCATACATTATCTGAATGATTTAATCTCGAAATAATATTTTATTTAAATTATAATGAAAGTTTAAGTAAAATTAATTTATTAATCAATTTACAATTTATTAGACAATGTTAAAAAAATATAAATAGTATATTATCATTTTATAGAACCAATCTAACCAACCATCTATTAACATTTTGTTGGGATGAATACTTAACTCATCCATAGTTTTTTTAAAAAATAAAAAATATTTTTATGAATATTTAAAATACTCATATATA